TAAAGTTCAGTGGGTAGACTAGTACCTAGTAGATATATTGAAATTTCAGTATGGTAGTGGTCTAATGTGTTAATGTGAAGACAGTTATGTAGTGTTTTTACTTGTCTGGGCTATGTTTTAGTCGATCGATTCTGCTTCCACTTATCGTCAAGCAAAAGGAGACATAAACGGTGCCGGTGTGTACGGGACGTTACTCAAAGACTTGAGTAGAGTAGACTTGTAAGTGGTGTTTGTATTCCAATTATAGCCACACTGTACACCGTTAACTATGTTATAACAATAATAAATGGAAGAAAAATACAATACTCCCCCGGTTTTTGTGATTTCAAATCCACCGTAGTCGTTGTTCCTTTGACAGGTTGTCAGACGATATCACAAATAACATTTATTTGTACAATTACACCGTAGAAGTTCATGAATTACACTGTTTATAACACTTAATTACTATATTTTACTAAATTACAATAAATTATTACGATTTTACCATTTAATTTATTATATTATATTAAAAATCGTAGGAGACAGTTTCTATTACGACCGGCTCACAGTGTTGCCAGCGTCCTCTTTGCCCGTTACACTTTGCTCGGCCACCGGGTGCCCCGCAAAGATTGTTTGTGTGATCTGTAGAGTGGTTTCGGGTCTGGGTGTGATGTGTATGTGAACCTGTATGTTTTCAAATGCACGTTATAAAAAAGATGCATTCCAAAAGGATCTTGAATAACTTATTGTGTGCCCATTTCTGCCCCAGCGTAGTCTAAGACGGCCCTGGTAGAAAAGTCTCATTAAAGGTGCTGATGGTGGCTACCGAGGTGATTACTATTAAGGTAAAGATCGGTTAGAGTGTAGGGGCGCTATGACGCGAGGACTTAGGACTTTCATCAAAAATGAGAATTCTTATAAGCGGCTGGTTTTTCATTTCTATCTTTTAGTTAGTATATCTAAAGGTAAGGTGAATATTATCTGGGCACTTTTTATCTAGGGCTTCATTAGAGCTCATTTATAGGCGAACCTGAAGTCCTAGACAAAAGGTGTCCACATGATTTTCGCTTTATTATTAGGTATACTAAACGATGAAAATGAAAAACTAACCATTTATAAGAATTTTTATTTATAATGAAAATTTCTCTGAGTTGTAAACTCTTTGCCCCTAAGACGACCCCGGACCCACTGACCTAAAGATCCCATAGTCCCTCCCTAGTCTTTCTCTTACCTTTCTGAAGGCATTGCTCTAGTTATAGTGATGCAGACCTAATTAGCTATAAGGTAGGCCTTGTTCTGCTCTATCAGCAATTAATTCGTCAGATGACCGTGTCGATGTGGTTCACTTTTTGCTCAATTACCTTAACAAACCTTGAAACCAATACATGTTATATCAAATTACGAGTATTTCATTGATTTCTACTTTATATGAAACTTACAGCAGTTAGGCGTAGGCAGGATACATAAATACCTATTATAAGTCTATTATATTGTTTGTCCGTTTGTACCACAACTGGCTTTTATGCATGCGATAGGAGCACCGTTCATCTTTTGAAAAAAATTGCTTTAGTAGGTGATCACGCAAATTTCTCAGTAATTACAGTCTGCAATTTGTCTCGTAAAACGAATAGGTACCTACCTACTGCTTTGAAATATTTGTAGGTATGTTAACCGTATATTATCTACTCTTACTCGTATCTTTTCAATATTGGTACCTATCTACCTACTTAATTAAGTAATTAAATAAACCGGTTTATTTAGGAGTCCTTATTTTATAAAGTTGAATCACAAAACTAGGATTCTAAAACAGACACTCCAAGTCTGCAAACTTTAGTCTTATTAACAATCAAAGTACACTGCCGCTGAACTTAACGTTGTATGTAGGCAATAACATTTAGGTACGTACACGGCCACACATCAACCTATACAAAACCAGTTTATCCTGGTGTCGCGTCGCATCATCTTTCCGCACATTTAACGTTCAGTTTATACTGGTTATGTAAAGCTCGATGTGTAGCCGTGTGTACGCTGACCGGCCGATAATTCAGCAAAAAAGTAAAACACGAACAGAGGCCTTAGTACGAGTTTGTTTTACGTTTAAAGTAATCGTAACGAGTACGCGTTCGGCGCAGTGATTGGTTGCTTCATTGGCGCCGGCCAATCAGAGTGCCGAACGCGTACTCGTTTCGAATACTTTAAACGTAAATCAAACTCATACTAAGGCCACTGTACAACCACCTCGACGAGCGATCCGTTACAAATAATCAAATACTGAACTTAACCTTATACTTTTTTTCTGACATCGCAATCAGTAGGCCGAACGAACCACATTTTGTTGCGTTTTTTCAAACGTCCTTAACTCCCAAGTGTCAAATGAAAGCGATTTCAAATGTCATTGGAGTTTCTTAATTACTATGAATTGAAAATTCGCATGTTCAATTAGTATTTTGCTAGAATATTAACCTTCTAGTTTTCTAGGCTTATGTCATGTTACCACGAGAACCTACTTAGGTATGCATTATTATTTCGAGATGTCAAGGTTGGTGATTTATAGTTCATTGATGCAGGGGCACTAAACCGCCATGAATTCGTTATGAACAAAAGCTACTTATCAAGATGTTATATTTTTATTAGTAGGTAATCAGATGTCTAACTTCGGAATTCAAAAGTATGCTTGATAGCTTTTTATCACATTGGTCTAATTAGTGAACTGATTTTAGCTGGTTGCCTTTTTGTTGGTGAAGAGAATGTGCCTAAGAACTTGTAGGCAAAACTTTGTTATTGCAAAAATTCGGTATTCATTGCTGATTTTGTAAACAAGACAACTGAAACTTTCCTAATTTAACAAGCTATGGAAGCATAACTTACCAGTCTGCCAATTTAGGCATTGTTTAATGGAGCAATTTATTACACTTGTTACATTTAGGCCAGAATGTTGAATAATTGAACTGCATAGTATAAGAAAACAGATTGCAACACAGTTTATTTCATAATCAGTAGACTGTGACGGAGGTCGTAAGAAAAGTTCTTGTTTTACCGCCAACAGCTTCAATACGGTTGACAGCTGTATCCGTTGGAAGTCGTAGACTGATTTTTAAAATTGGAAGGATTTATTTTTTTTTAATCTTTTTTTTAAAGTGAAAAATTGCGTATTGTGGATTTTTATCTGGGTATGTATAGTGTTTTGTTTTATTGTTAAATTCTTTTTTATCGACAGTGCAGATAGGAATTATTCTGGTTCGTGTTGTGTTTAGCGTACGGTAAAAGAACATTTGTATTTTAAGGATTGCCTATTGCATCTCTATGATAACATAGTCAATGAATATAGATAATTAAGATGTTGTGTTTATTAAAAGTCTGCCAAGTCTTAAAACATTGGAGCATGAACTAGGAATAATTTCATATTAAAAATAATGGCGTTCGATCACGAAACCTAGTGCGTAGCCACGATTATTCACGATGTTGATATATGGCCTATGAAACGATCTTCTACAAAATATCCTTCCTGTATTTTAGGAAAATTACTTAAATACTAATGTTGCCTTCGTAATTTGCCTCGACTAATGTTTAACTATACTGATTAAGTCATTAAGGAAAGAAACCTTTGCCAAGGGTTTACAGGATTAAATGAATATTCATTAACTATTTGCCTTATCGATTTTAACTAATCTTTACTGAGGAATAGAGTAGTAGGAGGTATTTTAGTGTTACGTTTTTCATTACGTAAATCTTATTATCTTTCAAATATTTTTAATTTAAATTAGAGGCAATCTGAGACCCTTTCCTCAGAGTACTGGTACATGTTTATAAAGTAACGATAATTACATAGAACACCATACATGCACAACTTCTTTATTATTAGGTATTAAAAACAGAAGCCTCAGAGAGTCGGAAAGCAGTATGATGCGTTTACAAAAACATGTAGGCAGGTACACGGAACAAGATATAGTGTGGAAATCAAACCAAAGACGTATACTGAGGAGCAGGACTATCGGCTACTACACCAGCTACGCACGTGCATTGTGCAGTCAATCAAACCTCTGTTTACTTTTAGACATATTTAGGCATTCCTCTGCGCTAGGATTTCCTTGTGTTGTAAAACATACGTGTTGTTTATTTATAAAGATTTTTTTGTGACACATAAATGAAGCCATAATACCTATTACACCCACTATTGCACATCTCCCCATGGTTAACTGTTAGAGAATGCCACCCGGCATTAAGTCCGCCATCGTATGTTTAATATTATACAGAAGTGTTAATAAATAAATAAATGAAACTCGTGGATGTATTTAAAAACGGGGCTAACACAAATAGGAGACGGTAACCTAAATACAATCTACATATTTCTGTGGCCCTAGTGATAAAGGATCTGAGTCCAAAACTGCAGCTTTACAGGAGACGCAAAGAACGTTCCGTGCAGTTCAAATTCGTGTTTGACCTCATGTGTTCATTTCAACCGCTACAATTGATGTTTTTATAATTATGGAAGAATACTGATCTGTTAGGTAATTTTGGTATAACTAATTCATTTTCTACAATCGGGGACTTATATCATTTTCGCTAGCATCCCCACATTTGTTAGGTTACAGTGATCGGTCAGCACACCAACCTACACCAATGTGTCAATTTTTTTCAAGAATTTTCGACTTTAAAGGGCAACAGATAGAGTTGAAAATGTAATAAAGAAATTTGACAGTAAAGAGTAGATTGTCCTGTCAGTAGCCCACTGTACCTATTTTACTACAATAATAAAGTCAGCAAGATACCTAGGCACCCATTACGTGTACATAATAGCTAAGAATGAATGTCGCAAGTAAATAAGTTAGGTATTATATTCATTTTGATTGAAAATGTAATGTTGCAGTGGTATACAGACAATTGTAATAGATTCGAGTATTATATTTTATTACATACAATTACGATTTTTACGAAACAGTTTTATTCAAACGAATAAGAATAGAAATATTTTGAAAGCTAGGCCTTTTATTTTGCGGGAGAAAATCATCCAATGACTTCTCACGCCTTGGGTTAGGCGAGAGGGAGTGTTAGACTCTTACTGACTAAAGCCACCCCGTTCCTACTCCTGCTCTTCGAGCTGGAGCCCCGGCAACCCGTTAGGCCTTCTGCGGAACGCAACGCGCCGTACGCACGGGTCTGGTTCTGGTCTGGCGGCGAGATACCCTTGCCCGCCGTCCGCAGACCCGCAGCACAGCTACGCTAGGCAGGGTATTCTGTAACTTTTAGTTCGAAAGGTCAAATTAAAAAGCAATGCACAAAATTTAATTTTTTTTGCATAAGCTTAAGCACGTATATCTAGATCTATAGGAAGTACCGTCTTTACCATATCCGGGGCCCGCGCCCAAGACCTCCATCCTCAGGGGGAGCGCCTGAGGATGGGGGTCAGGCACGACTGACAATTTCTACGACGCGACGGACCCACATTCGCTAAACGGTAACCGGCTGCCCCGGAACGTATAGCAGGTTCGATTTTCGCATGGAGAACTACGTGATCCACAAATTGTTGTTTCGGGTCTGGGGGTCATGTATATGTGAACTTGGATGTTCGTAAATCCTAGTGTGGTGTAACTTAAAAAAAAACATTCCATAAACAAGGGTCCCGATTTATTGTGTGCGTAAGGGCCCCAGGGTAGTCTAAGACGGCTCAGTCTATTGGTACTAACCATTTATTATTATGTCTATGGTATTAGTATATAGGCTTAGGCCTATGTTAATAAAAAATAACCTATTGTTGGACGTGCCCAAATATAGGTCGATTCCATACGCAAGTGTTCTTCATTCTATTTTGATTCAGATTAAAAAAATCAAGTAGGGAATGGCGATAAAATATAAATTCGGGCTGGTTCTCACTGAATCTGGATATAAAAGTAGTTTGTAAAACTTGCCGATTAAGTAATTAGGTTCAAGTACTTACTTGTTAGCCTTTCTATATATAAAGCGTTGGACAAAAGCAGTTTAATACCTGCATAACAACCAACTCAAGTTACATACATACATTCATACATGACATCACGTCTTTTATCCCCGAAGAGGTAGGCAGAGCTGCATATTATGCCACTGTACAATGTTACACCCACTTTTCACTATTTATGTTAAGAGTTCCATGCAATAGGGGGTGAGTCAGTAATACTTTGCCCAACCCGGGAATCGAACCCGAGACCCCTTGCCCAGTCACACTTGCGACTACTCGGTCACTCAATGAGCCAGTCTCGTACCGTACCTATTTTTTTACATTTTACATTTGTTTAAGTTCTCAATTCGATTTACGGATCCGATATTTTCAGTTCATATTATCGGTCATATATTAGGTATACTTAAATTTGAAAAATTGTTTCGAATGAGCTTGGTAATATATTGGTATACATGGGACTGAAAACTGATGAATCATACGTGCACCTGGTACCGATACTCCAGGCCGGACAAAGCAAGGATGTGCCGTTTCAGGCGTTACGCCTTGGTGTCTCCGTAGCAGGTCTTTTATAGAGGTAGAAGTCTCCCCCTATATTATAGGTGATGGTGATGGCCACAGGGGTAGCTTTAGTGAGTGATAAAAATTCGACAGTTCCTAGTTTTACTCCCCTAAAAAGCCAGGCGCCTCTTTGAACGTTTCCCCCGCCATAAAGAAGGCCTTACAAGGTTTATTTGTTATATTAGTTGTAAGTATGTATTAAAAAATATCGTGACAAGATGCACCGATACATATTTATAAGATTATATATAAGAATTATTGTCTCGTACACCAATTAGCTGAATAAATACAAACTCAACAAAGGCCAAGAATTATTGCAATGCCAATTAACGATAAAAATAATTTGTTTTGTTTTTGTAATGATAAATATTATACTTTCAGGCAGAACGTAGTCTCTTCTCGCGCCAACAGGAAGAACAGAGGTCAGAAAAACTGCAATGTCTATGGTGATTTGAAAAAATAAGTAAATAAGAATGTGTTTGAGAATGCTGAGACTGTTGTTTTTGGTGGCGATGGCGGCTGTCACAGCGAAGGTCCAAAATGACCCGGCTGCCAACCAAATTGTTATATTCAAAGAGAAAAGCAAGGTAAGAATACTTCGATAGAAAACTTGTTTATTTAACTTGATTTGTTTATTATAAGATACCTAAGTACTTCTTTCAATACGTCATGAGTTTTGTAGTCATTAATTACGATAACAAACACTTTTAGAAACAATGAATTATAATAAAACCTTAAATCCAGATTTTTTTATACATAACATAGATGATGAAGTTAAGATCATGGCCGTATAATAAAACACACTCCTTCTACTTTTTCAGGGACCCGTAGCAACAATGACTACCGCCGCTGGAGCACCCATCGAACAGAAAGAAGCTACAGTAACATTGAACGAGAGGTTGATATTCAATGAATATTTTATGGACACCATGACCCACTTGGTTAGGGAAAGAATCCCAGAACGATTGGTCCACGCGAAGGCTGGTGGTGCATTTGGTTATTTTGAAGTGACACACGATATATCCGACATTTGTAAAGCTAAATTATTTAGTAAAGTAGGCAAGAAGACACCTATCGCTGCTAGATTCTCCCCAGTCGTTGTTGAGCGAGGAGGCATTGACACTTCAAGAGATGCCCGAGGATTTGCCCTCAAATTCTACACTGAAGACGGTAACTTCGACATAGTCGGCTTCAACACTCCCATGTATGTCTACAAAGATCCTCTCCTATTCCCCACTTTCGTACGAGCACAGAAAAGGAACCCAGCGACGAATTTGCTAGATCCAAACATGCTTTGGGACTTCCTAACGCTACGTCCAGAAAGTTTGCACATGTTTTTACTAGTATTTGGTGATCGAGGAATCCCAGATGGCTATAGACACATGCCTGGTTTCGGCATCCACACTTTCCAAGTTGTAAATAAACACGGTGACAGTCACTTTATTAGGTTCCATTTCAGACCAGATGCAGGCATTAAAAACCTACGTTCAGAAGAAGCAAGAAAGTTAGCGGGCACTGATCCAGATTATGCAACTAGAGATTTGTACAGAGCTATCGGAGAAGGAAAATTCCCAAGTTGGACTGCCAGCATACAGGTTCTAAGTGAGGAAGATGTCAAAGAAGCAGACTTCGATGTCTTTGATGTTACTAGAGTTTTACCGTTAGACAAGTATCCTCTAAGACCACTAGGCCGTTTCGTTTTGAATAAAAATCCTGTAAATTATTTTGCTGAAATTGAGCAGTTAGCATACAGTCCCGCGAACTTAGTACCAGGAATTCTGGGAGGACCTGACAAAGTGTTTGAAGCTCGTCGTTTGGCCTACAGAGATGCTCAGTATTATCGTTTAGGATCAAACTTTTTCAACATACCTGTAAATTGTCCTTTACAAAACAAAGCTTTCCCGTACAACCGTGACGGTGTGCCACCTGTTAAGGATAATCAAAAAGATATACCAAATTACTATCCTAATTCATTCCATGGACCTGTTCCTTACAAAGAACATGATAAGGTTGAGTTGATAGAGATCCATCAGGACCAGCCGGATAATTTCGAACAAGCGCGGGAGTTGTATATCAATGAAATGGAGCCAGAAGAAAGGCAGAGGTTAGTTGAGAACATTCTGTATAGTTTGGGTCCTGCAACTAAATTTTTGCAAGACCGAGCTGTGAAAATGTTCGGTCGAATACATTCCGATCTTAGTGACAAGATATACCAAGGTCTACAGGCAAATAGGACCAAAACTCCTTATGAAATTGATTTAGGCTTCTTCGGGACACATTCCTACTTTTAAGAAGTCTTATAAGTATGTAATTAGTATTTAAGTTGTACAATGTTACAGTTAATGTTTGTTACTACATTTTTATGTTAATTTTATTCATTGTTTAAAGTACAATTTAATAAAATGTTGAGTTTGTAATACAGATAATATCTTGTTTCAATAATACGTAGATTATTAAGCATTATATCTAGGATATGAGAAATAGAGTCCCATGTAATATGGGGTGAGTCTATTGCCAAATACAATTCCGGACTCCGTGCTACAGCTGAGAATTAAAATAAAAATCCAGTTGTACTTTGCCCGACCCGGGAATCGAACCCGAGACCCCTTGCGGGACAGGTGCACTTGCGACCACTCGGCCAAAATGAGGCATTCCCATAACATAAATAGTGAAAAGTGAGTGTTACATTGTACATTGCAATTAAGTGCCGTAAGGTGCACCTCTGCCTACCCTTTTGGGCATAAAAGGCGTGATGTTATGTTATGTGAAATAGAATGTTTGTTACTCATGCTCATCTCCAAACTTATTAATATTTCAAAAGGTACCAAGAACTTAAAAAGTATGGCGAAAATAATCGATGAGCGTGCACGAAAAGACTGATGACTGTAGATGAAGTGAAAGAGGTATGTAAGAATCCTAGCAATTGGCGTTCCATAGTCTCCGCCTATACATGGGAGACAGGCATTTGTATGTACATATGTGCCAAAAAGTTTTGCATTACTGTTGACTGGGAGCTGGTTGAACAGAAAGTTGGTCTGAAAATGACCTTTTAAAAATTGCTACCTATGTAAATTTCATTTTTACCGTAAGATAGGTATCCTAGTTGATCGGTTAAAATAAATTAGGTAATTCAACTCGAAAAACGACAATAAATTAAAGTTTCAGAAAAGTGAAAGTGAAAATATTGCGTACCCATTTACACGCAATTTTAAAGATACGGTAAGTAATCAGCCTTTCAAAATTGAAATAAACACCTCTAGGTATATTTAATTCTCCAGGGTTGGTCTACTAAGAGGACCCGTTGCCTCCTGCAGGTGCGGATGGTGGCCACCGGGGAGGTTTAAGCGAGGTAAGAATCCCACACTCCCTAGTCTTTTTCCTGAATCAGCTAGGCGCCTTTTGAAGCCCCGTCAACAGAAAAGAAGGCTTATTTAATTATCTAAGCCTATGTAAATGTGATAATAGCCCGAAGGTTTAAGACGGCGCTTCTCATGCATGAGGGCGCGGGTTTGAAACCTAACATCGGCAAGCCAAACAGCAAGTAGGTACCAACGTGTCTTTTTTTAGTCATATGGTCTTTCTAAGATTATTTAGACATCACTGACAAATGGGGAAGGAAAACATCGTGAGGAAACCTGTGCTTATATTTTCTAATTATAAGTTTGACATTGTCAACCTTGAGCGAGCGTGGTGACTAATTCTCAAACCTTCTCTGTGCGAGAGAAGTGGCCTTTGGTCTGCTGTAGCAACTGTGGCTGTTGATGATGGTGATGCAAATCCGAATAGAATCTTGGGGTGTGTCCACGACCGATCCAGCGAATACGCAGCCCGATGCATTCGCCAGAGCGAATGCTCCGCGAATACGCAGCACGAGGGCGGCTCGCGAGCTGCAAATGCATTTAAAATTATTATTTATACGATTTGTATGAGTTGTTTGAGAACCCCTGTATGAGTTGAGCACCAAACCCTTGCCGTGACTGCACGCGCTCAGCTCGTGGGCGGCTATTGCACTCGCACTTGCGCCAGATGTGGACGTAACCTAACCAAACTAACCTAAAGTTACAATTAGACTAGTTGGAACTAATATATACTATGTCATTACTTTGTAGTACGTTTAAGAAATTAAATATTTTTGAAAAGGTACCACGTGGACCTATAGCTTTTCTTAGAAAAAGATAAGTACAATATTTAATTATCTTTTCAACAATTCTCGTGTTTTACAAACCGTATATTTATAAACATGCAAGTAATAAAAAAAAAAATAAGGGTATTAAGAATAATTATATTATCATAAAGTACCTGAATTACATAAATGAAATACCATCAGGATTACATAAATTTAAATAACTAATTAGGTATTCAGAATGTGACACGATCTAGCCTAAGTAGGTGATACTTAAATTACACTTAAAATAAAACTTTACTTTTCTCCGATACTATTCTTCAAATTGTCGTGTTTATACGTTTTTAATTATTTTTTTCGACGCTAAATAATAAATATTTTTTAACATTGGTATGTAAAGGAAATCGAACAAACGAACGAATAAAAAAAAAAACGAAATGTTATTAAAAACACTGCCATTGTTTATGGTCATAATGGCGACCCGAGCTGCGGACGAAGACGATAACCCAGCTGTAGATCAACTTGTTTTATTCAAAAATAGAACTGAGGTATGTAAGTTCTTAATTTTGTTTAATTATTAAGTTACAGTTTAAATGTGAAACACTGGTACTATATGTTTTTATTTATGTTTCAAATCTAATTAATATAATTGTAATAGTTAAGTATTTTGTTTTTTTTTTGAAAATGTAGATAATTGAATGACAAGGGCACGGACAAAAGAGTCCGTGGAAAAAAAGAAATCTAATATAAAAAACAACCTATTTTGTTTAGGGCGGTATCATACGACAAAGAACTAGTTCTAAGATATCTAGAGGTATATTATTTTTATCAGATCGTCACCGAAGACTCTGTCTGAACAAAGCTTCCTCTCTCTTCTTTAACAAGACACGTAACTTCTGAGTTACTAATTTTAATATTTCTCCTATATTTCAGGGACCTATAGCCATCATGACTACTGCTGCAGGTGCACCAATTGAATACCAAACCACAATTACATTGAACAAACGTTTGCTATTTAATGAGTTTCTAATGGACAGTTTGACACACGTGGTCAGGGAAAGAATACCAGAGCGACTAGTTCATGCGAAGGGTGCAGGGGCATTCGGTTATTTCGAAGTAACCCACGATATATCTGATATATGCAGGGCGAAGTTATTTAAAATGGGTGAGAAGACGCCTATAGTTGCAAGATTTTCTCTAGTGGTCACTGAACATGGTGGCAGTGACACACAAAGAGATATCCGAGGATTCGCTCTCAAATTTTACACTGAAGACGGAAACTTCGACATTATTGGCTTAAACACACCCATGTTCGCCTTCAAAGATCCCATACTTTTCCCTACTTTCGTACGATCACAGAAAAGAAACCCAGCGACAGACTTACATGATCCCAACATGTTGTGGGACTACCTAACCACAAACCCAGAAAGTTTCAACCTATTTTTACTATATTTCAGTGATCGTGGAATCCCAGATGGTTATCGACATATGCCTGGATTTGGTATTCACACTTATCAAGTTGTTAATAATCGTAGCGAGAATCATTTCATCAGGTTCCACTTCCTACCAGATGCGGGCATCAAAAACATATTTTCAGAGGAAGCAAGGCGGTTAGCAGGTTTTGATACGGACTATTCAACAAGAGATTTATACAATGCCATCGGAACTGGAAACTTCCCCAGCTGGACAGCAAGCATTCAGGTATTAACTGAGAGTGATATTAAAAATGCAAGCTTCGATGTGTTTGATGTTACAAAAGTATTGCCTCAGGACAAATATCCTTTAAAACCCTTTGGTCGTTTCGTTTTGAACAGTAATCCTGTTAATTACGTTGCCGAAATTGAGCAGTTGGCTTTTAATCCTGCGAATTTAGTTGATGGCATTTTGGGAGGACCAGATAAAGTTTTTGAAGCGCGACGTTTGGCCTACAGAGATGCTCAGTATTACCGCTTGGGTGGTAACTTTTTGAGAATACCCGTAAACTGTCCCTTGCGCCATAGAGCATACCCGTACAATCGTGATGGTGTGCCTCCTCTAAATGATAATTTAGGAGACATACCTAATTACTATCCCAATTCTTTCAATGGACCTGTTCCGTATGTGGACAACAATGTTGGTGAGCTAATAGAGATATATCAGGATAAAGCGAATAACTACGATCAGTCTCGTGAATTATACGTGAACGAATTGGACGCTGAAGAGAAGAAGAGACTAGTGGAGAACATAGTGTATAGTTTGGAGAACGCAACGGGATTTTTGCAAGAACGCGCTATAAAGATATTCAAGCGTATACACCCCGACCTTAGTGAGAGGGTGAAGCAAGCGCTGCGTAACGCGACAATGAACTGTCAATGTGGTGATAATTAAATTAATGTTTAACAAACAATATAATATATGGAATTGAATACTACTGTAATGTATTTTATTGTCTCTCATTATAATAAAAGAGCTTTTCCTTAATGACTGTTCCACAAAAATGAATAAATAAATTTATTGATTTATTAATTTTTTTTACCCCAATTTAGGCATATTGAATTTTTGATTAGGTAGGTATTGATAAAGGAAATGTAACGTTACAAAATTATTTAAAGTAGCTAGACTTTATTTTGATGGAGGTTATTTCATTGTGTTATTATTATTATTTGTTTTAATGTAAATAAACTTCAACAATTATCTACAGAAAAAACTAATCCCTATTAATATTTATATAAAATACTGCAGAAGAATATGAATATCAACGACCATGAGTTTATTGTCGTCCATTTATGAAAGTCTTCTTCTCTAATGGTCTTTATATTGCGTTAGATTGAGTTTTTAAGGACTCTGTTCAAAACATTGATAAACATAAACTAATAAATAGTTTCGTTAAGAATTTATCCCTGATCTACTTCAATTACGTATAGTAGTACGTTGCTTTTGGGTACACGTGCTCCATCATAGGCCGCATCATCGTTTACCACCAGGCGAGATAGGTCAACCCTCACCTCGACATTTACACATAAAAGCTACATTCTCTAACTAGTCGAGCCCCTCATGCAAAAGATAGTGCACAAAATTAGTAGGGACGAGCCATGCTTTGGCATGAATTGGCCGGCTCGAGTAGAACGATACCACGATTTCCAAGAAGACCGACGTGAAACAACGCTTGCGTTAGTTTCGTCGTGTGAGTGAGGTTACCGGAGGCCTAATTACCAATCCCCAATCTCCCCGATCCCTGAATCCCCCACAATCCTCAATTTCCAATTTCCGTTTCGTGTGCGCCGATTGCTTACCATCAGGTGATCCGTCTGCTCGTTTACCGGATTATTCCATAAAAAAATTAGCATACTAATATAGGTTTTCACTCCATTCTCTTACTCTCATGATCCGATAAGATATGATAGCAGAAGATCAGGCAGGAGTTTGTTAGTTTTCTATGTTAGGCGATTCGTAGCATGCCTATAGGTAGATGTTAGGATATTTATTAAGAAACAGTCCCAATAATACTATTTATACCATAAATATTTTTGCTACTGTTTTACACCTACTGATTTTAAGAAAGAATGAAAGGATAATGGGTAGACCGTAATATAGAAAGAAAGAAAGAAAATAATTGATTATGCCACGACATACTACAAGAATACAGGCACATTCTTCGCAAAGATCTTAGTAGATATCAACCTGTATGTCTAAGTATTTAGAGGTATTTATACGGAGGGAGTGTCAGACTCTTACTGACTAAAAACCACCCCGTTCCTACTCCTGCACTTCGAGCCGGAGCCCCGGTAACCCGTTAAGTTCTTCGCGGCTCCGAATCGGCATCAGCCCTATTGGGTGGGATGGGAATCCGTGGTGGTCTGATGGCTCTTTGAGGCGCGCGCGAAACGCGACGGGCCGTACGCTCGGGAAAAAAATATGGCTAAATCCCAGTAGGTTATAAAGAACTGGAGATTAAAGATCTGTTTAAGAGGTTTATGTTAGGCAATGGACAGGAACGATCTGATGATGGTGATGACGAAGAACTAAAGTAAGAGCTTAAAAGACACATTATAAAGACTCCAGATAAAATGATGTATGGGTACAGTTTAAAAAAGCAATCAACAGGGCACGTGACCCAAATTCGAAATATTTACTAAACTAACTTTAAGAATAACATAAAAGACATCACGCATTGATGTTAATTGGGCCTTGAATTAGACACCAATAATTCTCATTTAATTGTAATTATGCAAATCTAAATACATATGTTAATGATAAGTCACAAAAATTGTTTATAACATACCACTGAATTTCATTACACGAAGAAAAGATAACAAAACATTATAGTTAGTTTACTAATTACACTTTTGAAAACTAGCACTTAATATCTATGTACTGAGAAGGCAAGACTAATATAAAATTTAAAAAAAAAACATAGAATTTTATTCAGTATATATGTAAAAACGGTGATGGTACAATTCCATGACGAAAAACTTCATTCAGAAAATAACAAACATGATACAATTGTTTCTTTTGGTGATAGTAATGGTAGCTGGGGTGCAAGGCGATGCAGCGGACAACCAAATCGTTGAGTTCAAAAAAAGGACAAAGGTAAGCGATCTTATAATCCCCTTTTTACTAGAACACTGTTTGAATCATTTTGAACTGATAATATGATGACGATAATTTGGATAGCGACGTTATAAGCGACAAAATCAATTGTTTTCGTTAAGTTTAGACAACTCTGAAACCTACCATTTTGCTATTAGACTGTTATATTATAATGCCTTGTGTTATATGGATCGTGAGAATCAGGCTTTTTTTTTAATTCGTGTAGTAGTAGTAGTATAGAAGGGAAGATGTACCAATACACGCATAATCTCTTTATATTCTGACTTAACTATTTATTTTTATACTTTGTATTTTTCAATAAAATTCCTGTTATATTCTAGGGCCCTATTGCTACTATGACTACAGCTGCAGGAGCACCCATCGAAGAAGAAGACACAACAACTTTAAACAAGAATTTGTTTAACAACGAGTTTTTTATGGACACCGTCACGCACATCGTCAGAGAAAGAATACCCGAACGTCTTGTCCACGCAAAGGCCAGCGGTGCATTCGGTTATTTCGAAGTTACGGACGATATAACTGATATATGCAGAGCGAAATTATTCAGTAAAGTTGGCAAGAGAACTCCTGTTGCTGTAAGATTGTCTACATCAGCTACTCAGCGAGGTAGTATTGACACATCCAGAGATATTCGTGGATTTTCCATTAAATTCTATACAGAAGATGGTAACTTTGACATAGCTGGCTTTAACACCCCTATGTTCATGTATAAAGACCCCGTCCAGTTTTCTTCTCTAGTGCGCTCATTTAGAAGGAACCCGTCAACAAATTTATTTGATAATAATTCCCTTTGGGACTTTCTGACGCAGTTACCAGAGCTTTTATTTATTTATTTGATAATATTTGGCGACCGAGGAATCCCTGATGGCTACCGACATATGCCTGGGTTTGCTATTCATACGTACCAAGTTGTAAATAAGCACGGGGAAAATCATTTCATTAGGTTCCACTTCCAACCAGATGCAGGTATTAAAAATCTTAGGACTGATGAAGCGAGAAGGATAGCGGGCTCTGATCCAGATTACGCAACAAGAGATTTATATAATGCCATTGCAAAAGGAAACTTCCCTAGCTGGACGGCGAGTATTCAAGTCTTGACTGAGAGTGACGTTAAAAATGCAACCTTCGATGTCTTCGATGTTACAAAAATACTGCCGCTAGACAAGTATCCATTGCGTCCATTAGGCCGTTTGGTTTTGAACAGGAACCCTGTTAATTTCTTTGCAGAAGTTGAGCAGTTGGCGTTTTGTCCTGCGAATTTGGTTGATGGTATTCTTGGGGGACCAGACAAGGTATATGAATCTCGCCGTTTGGCATACAGAGACGCTCAATACCACCGTTTGGGTGGAAACTTTTTGAAAATACCTGTAAACTGTCCAATGCGACATAGAGCATTTCCATACAACCGAGATGGTATGCCTCCAGTTAATGACAATGAAAAAGACACACCAAATTACTATCCTAACTCATTCAATGGACCTGTTCCTTATAAAAGTAAGTATAGAATGGATTTGATTAAGATACAGGAAGAGGCTGCAAATAATTATGATCAAGCTCGAGACTGGTATCTCAATGAAATTAGACCTTCAGAGAGGAAGAGGTTAGTGCAGAATATCGTGGATAGTTTGAAACCTGCTGCGAAGTTTTTGCATGACAGGGCTGTGGATGCATATACTCGTATACATCCAGATCTAGGGGCACAAGTAAGGCAAGGTCTGCTATCAAACAGTACCGGGAATATGTAAAAAAATCTGAATTATTTTTTTTAGTTTTCTTGTTAACTTCAAAAATAAAATCGTTGCCTCATTCTTAGCATCATGTTTTTATCATTTTATGTATTACATGTCTTTTGTCCATTTACCTCAACTGAGATATTTTTGAAATCGGTTATTAATTTCGACCCTTAATTATCTCGTTTCTGTTTAAAATTGACATCTGTAATTGAAATAAATTGACTTTTATGACATAAACTTACACCATTTTTTTTTAATTATCTTCCTCATTGATGAGCCCAGTATTAAAAAAGTGATTAAAATTAAAAAAGTGGGTTTGTGTACGCCTGTAAAATAAGGCAGTAGTAGTATTTACATGGGTACCTATGGCTCAGTAAAAAGCAGTTGTCGAATGAAATAGGTATTTATCGATTAACCTATTTATCGATCGATGATCGAATTAACTAATGGAAAACGAAGTTTAACAACGTATGAATAATTCACTGTTTCTTAATTCAGTACTTAATTGTTGTAATTGGGACGTTAAAAGAGATAAAATTCAAAATACGCAACAATACATGGGCAATTAATGTTATTGTAAAGTGGTCGGTAACCTAAATTACATTTTTGTCGTCATGTTTATCATAATTAATTATTAAGTTCTCGGCCTACTCACGTAACTGTTTGACGAGAAACTCGACTAGTTTGCATGGCTCTCTCCAGCATGGTTGAAACTAATTATTAATTTAGTACCTACAGATGATTTACTACAGTTATAATATAAACATATTTATTTACATATTTTACAACATAATTATTTAATAGTATCGAAAATGTCAATGGTCGTATACGTAGATGGTCTCCAATGCGACTGTTATTTCGCCAAGGCCAAGGCCTAACACTGAAATAACAGTAACATTTGATATCCGAATAAAATATAATAAAATTAATGTTTTTATTTTAACATATTTACATTGTTTGTACCTCTACGCCTGCTTGCGAGTAATGTCGCAACTGACGAATATTTACAAAAATTCCTTTTACTAATTAATGATTACCTACTCATGTAGGTAATAAAAATTACAGCAAACATTTGTATAATGAAATAATATATTTAAAAATGGAATAGTTATAATTGTAAAAAAAATACAGCGTCTCCGGTCCACAACGACTGAATGTGAAGACACCGATCATCGATCATGATAAAAAATTACAAGCATTGCAATTAAAATGCCAATATAGATCCTTTTCATGATATACTGCACTGCAAGGATGCAACGCCTGCTCAGTGTATATAAAACTGTGGAGCTAGGCAGTCAATAATTGTATTTTGTATTGTAACTACCATGAAGTCAGAATGGTGCCTACTATCGTACATCGGCCTCATAATGGCGACGGAACATCATGATTTCGCAGCAAACCAAATAGTGTCGTTTCGAGATAATCATTCTGTAAGTTTTCTTTCATTATTTTCTTTGACTTTCGCCCGAATACTGAAAGGATACTCAAGATACACATCATCGCTTACCGTCAAGCGAGATGGTGGTCAAACGTCGACCTATAAAGTATAAAAAAAAAGTATAATTTATTGGAGTGTACTTAAATATCGAGCCATCTCTGTTTTTTATGAGATAAGCCCGTAAACAAGCAGATGGATCACCTGATAGTAAGCAATTGGCGCCGTCCATGGACACTAGAAAAACTCGAGGCGTTACTGGTAATTTGGGAATTTGAGGATTGTGGGGGATTTCGGGATAGGGACCGACTAAGGAGGATAATTGGACCTCCGCATTTACAAAGAATTTGTTATGACAGTACTACCTATACTTAAGTTCGACTTCAAATTGATTAGCCTTTCAGTATTCGGGTTTGTCTTATGAAAATCTATGAGGATACTCATTCAGTTGAGTGGAAACTGACTGTAGATCAAACCCGTCAAACTAGAAATGTTTACTACTGTACTCTTTCTTCTTATACTCTACTATACTCTTTCTCATTTATTTAATGGCTTTGAGTCTATTGGATTTGTGTCAAACTGCCTATTTGTATTTTTATTCAGTAAGAGTCTGACTGACAGTCCTCTTCGTCTGCAGAGCTTTATAGGGATTTTCCACCATTAAGGTGTTAATGTCATAAGCGTATGTAGTAGGCTATCTTCAATCAAGCCACGAGGAACAAAACACTACATGGGTAAAGCAGGGAGAACGAGAAGCTGTATTAGATTATATTGATTTATCAGATTTCATGGTAGGTAATTTTATGACGCAAACAAGATTCAGAAGAGATTAACGGATATTCAACGATGCGTGTCCTAATTAATTTCTTAGTTCACACTTAATAATACCTCTATTTATGTTATCCGCCGAATGTAATAAAACGCGTTATTATAAATTCTAATAATAAAAATTAACGTCAATAAGTAAGACTATAAATTATCAAAATTGTTTTCAGCATCCCGTTGGAATATTGACGACTTCAGCCGGTAAAATGGTCAATTATGAAGAAGCAGAATCAACTTTAAACAAACGCCTGATTTTGAATGAATTCTTCATGGACACTTACACAAAATTTAACAGAGAAAGGATACCTACCAGGGTAGTTCATGCCAAGGGAGCAGGAGCCTTCGGTTACTTTGAAGTGACACACGATCTAAATGATATTTGTAAAGCAAAAGTTTTTAACAAGGTTGGAAAGCAAACCCCGGTCGCGGTTAGGTTCTCTCCAATACTTCAAGAACGTGGTGGCATAGACACTTCAAGAGATCCGAGAGGATTTGCTATAAAATTCTACACAGAAGATGGTAACTTCGATATAGTCGGCTTAAATATGCCTGTTTTTATAGTACAAGATCCTCTATTTTTCCCTGCGTTTGTTCATTCTAGGAAAAAGAATCCACAAACAAACCTAAATGACTCAAACATGTTTTGGGATTTTGTAGTGCGTCGTCCTAAATCTATATATAACACTTTATATACATTTAGTGACGTCGGCATATCTGATGGCTACAGACATATGCCTGGGTTTAGTATTCATACATATCAAGTAGTGAACAGTAAAGGGGCAAAATTCTTTGTCAGATTTACTTTTACACCTGACGAAGGAGTGAAGAGTTTAGATTCACAGACAGCGCAAACATTAGCAGCTGTTGATCCAGACTACGCCACTCGAGATTTGTTTAATGCTATAAGTGCAGGGAACTTCCCTAGTTGGACTGCTTACGTACAAGTCTTAAGTCTCTATGATATCCAAAGTGCTGATTTTGATGTATTTGACGTAACTAAAAATTTACCAGTAGAGAAATATCCTTTAAGGCCTTTAGGGCGACTTGTATTGAATCAGAATCAAGTGAATTATTTCGCTGAAATTGAGCAGCTAGCTTTCTGTCCTGATAACCTAGTACCTGGGATTCTTGGTGCGCCTGACAAGTTATTCGAAGCGCGTCGCTTTGGATATAGAGATGCTCAGAACTATCGTTTAGGAAGAAATTACGATAATATTATTGTTAATAAACCTATCGTAGAAACCTGGACCTATACTCGAGATGGAAGAGCTCCTGTTAAATATAATCAGTGGAACGTGCCAAATTACTATCCTAACTCGTATAATGGTCCTGTGCCATTCAAAGAAGACCATAATGTTGAGGTAATTGAAATATTTGAAGGACCAGGAGACGATTTTTGTCAACCACGTGAATATTATTTGTACGCACTGACGTCAGCTGAAAGAACTAGACTTATAAATAATATTGTAGCCAGCTTAGTAACTGTAACGGATCCAATTCTAAAAGAGCGAAGTATAGATATTCTGAAAGCAGTGAATTTAGATTTGGGTGTTAGAGTTTTTGAGGGTTTAGTGGCGAACCAAACTAAATATTACGAATATTAGTTGAATTTGAAGAATATTATATCTCATTGCTTTTCTTATTGTATCAGGCACCAATAGCTTAAGAGCAACTAGTTCGTATGACAGAGGAGGCGATATAAAATTCAGGCGCTTGTTTATTTGTCTTTGATAAAACAAGAAACTTGATTCAATATATTGATAATATGAATTATGTAATACAATAGAAATTATTTATTAGGCTTCTTCTTTGCTCGAATGGTAGTAAGTGCAACCACCGAGCTAAGAGTCTCGGGTTCGATTCACGAATCGGACTAAGTGCTATTTTTGTCGCTTCGGAAATGTTTCAATAATAGCGCTAAGTCTGAAATTATGTACAATGCCTACATTAAAAATATAGGTACCTATTAGGTTCATGTAAGGAGTTTTCAAGAACTTAATTTAGTCATTTAAGATTTAAAAGATTCATCTGCCCATTTAAGGGTATACTGCATATTGTAATAGGTATACATTATTTAGGATTGTCATTTTTACATTATTTAGGCAACTGGTGCCCATGAGATTGGAAACGACTCACGAAAAATCCTCTGTGATGAGCCACACGAGTGAATCTATCCCTACTTATAATAAAACTGTAGAAATGAAAATGTTGTACCTTCAATACATAGTATAAAACAAAGTCGCTTTCGCTGTATGTCCGTATGTATGCTTAGATCTTTAAAACTACGCAACGGATTTTGATGCGGGTTTTTTTAATAGATAGAGTGATTCTTAAGGAAGGTTTGTATGTATATACATATTGCACCCGTGCGAAGCCGGGGCGGGTCGCTAGTAAAGATATAAAAAAAAATCTATTATAAATGTACAAGAAATTTTAAACAAATTACAAATTGCTTATTGTATTTTGAAATTGTTTTGACGCACTCGCTTCTTAACTGCACTAGCTTACAGAGTCGGATTTATGCGAAGCTTACGGGCCAAGAATAAGGCCATTTGGAGTTCAAGGACTGACTTCCCAGATATCTGTTTTGTGCTTTATGAGGTTAATTAATTAACTAAACTAGAGTCGTACAAAAATTAGAGAGTTTGTGATAATCGTCACGCAGAGTAATACAGGACAAGACACTGACTGGGCTACCGCGCAACATGACGTGAACTCGATTCTTGCATGAATTGCCAAAATAACACTTTTGGATGTTTCTTTCTAATGTCGGAATACTGAAACGCTACTCAATTTTAAGTCGTGCTTAAGTATAGTTCTATCTCTACAAATTCTTTGTAAAATGACAGAGATGCCACGATATTTGAGCACGACTTAAAATTGAGTAACGTTTCAGTATTCCGGCATAAGTCTGCTTTTGTTACACAAACGTAGTTATATACCATTCATTACAATTTGACAATCGTTTGAAAAAGGTCAAGCAGTGTCAATTCAGGGGCCCACAGCTCACCAATACCACCCTGTTCACCTCACCAGTCGACACTTTTAAGAGTACATAGCTCAAATAAATCACCAACAAATACGAACAAATTTCGAACAAGTGGTAACAGTCCACCAGTATATTGTTTACTCTGTGGATATTTATGGAAACTAGGCACAAATGCTGGGTGAAGTAACCTGAGTAGGCCGTAAAGTGCTCTTTCAATCGTCGTTCGTGGGAAAGTGCTCGCTCGGTTATGTTTAAAAGTGGTTCGCGGTGACCTGCTAGGTCTGGAATGTCAGTCTAACAATACACTTTATGTGAAACTTGATTAGAAATGCCTGGAAAGTTTGCTTAATTTAAAATGTGTTGACGAAGGTAACCAAGTAGTGGGTTTATGTTATGCGAAGGATGTGATATAACTGTCAGATAGTTTTTGAAAGAATTTGTAGAGATGGACGTCTCGTAGATGAGTCTTACAATAAAACTAATTAAAAACACGAACATCATCATTCACGGTAGGAAATCACTGCAGTTTCAACTTACGACTTCTCTAGAACGTTCAGATGGAACGACAACTCTAAAACCTCTAAGAAGGACAGTAATTAACACCCAACAGTGGTTCCCAATGAACATAATCCTAATTAAAACACTACAACACCCATTTCGACACCTCTTACACCACATTTTATCGCTCCAACGAACTCAATTGCAAAAAATCTGATACCGTGAGAACTGAACTAAGAACTCTTCATAAATTAAAAAGTTAACTGTCCACTGACCAACTAGAGTTGTAACTTGTATCGATACTCGTGAAAGTTCGTAGGTATCGACTTATCGAGTGCGTGGTATCGAATGTCAGAGGCGACTCGAGACGCTCTGATTGACAATGGAATAGGAACGAGTGTGTCTACATTGTGTCCGCGTTAAGCAGACCCGGCTGTTGGCTGTATCTTGCAGGTTTTACGATTTTGTATCAATAGTGTTTAAGGGATGTCGAAAGGAACATTAATAGGAGTATTTAAAATCGAACCAGAAATTATTATCCGTGAATTGTGAACTGTCTTTAGTGAGGTAACTAGTCTTAGTAAAGTCTTTAGTAAAGTAATTGTCTTTGGTTAATCTGAAGTGAACTGTCATTAGCAACTTGTGAATTTATTATACAACCAGCTGTATGAATGTATCCATGATATAAAAATTTTACTGAACAACCCTTAGTCGGTTGGAAAGGGCAGAGCAGTGACACTATTCTGAACTTCATTTAAATCTGGTTAAAACTCAGCGTCTTCCTAATTACAGTAGAAAAACGTTTGGAAGAAGAATATTAGACAAAAATAAGCATTTTTTTAAGGAGGAAAATCATCGAATGACTTCTCCCGCCTCACCCAGGCGGCTTTTGTCAGGCTCTTACTAACTAAAAACCACCCGTTTCTACTCCTGCACTTCGAGCCGGAGCCCCGGTAACCCGTAAAGTTCTCCGCAGCAAAAATAAGGATAGGGTACAATGTAATCCCACATTTTGTCGGGACACAGTATCAAAACTATTTTGGCCATCCCTACGCCACGCCACGCAATGGGTTGTAATGACAATATGGCTGTTTAGAATGTACGTGTACACCATCAACTAGTGTTTCGGTTAATTTGCCTCATAATCTATGTAGTTAAAGGCCCCGCTAATGGTGTATATTGTTAACGCTTCTAGGAACTATTGCAAGCTTTCTTCTTATGAATATTGACTTCAAACCAGGTGTAATGTTTCAAAGGGAACCGCTTTCCACGTTTACTTTTTAAATAGTGTTATTTTACCTTGTAAATAACTAATAGGTTCGTCCCTTATTACGTGGGACTTATGGTGAGCGAGAATACTTCTCGCTCACCATAAGTTATTTCATTTCTTCAACTGAACAGTTAGGAATATCCCTATGAGATTATAAGGTGTTATGATATGCTAGGTTAGGTATGACAAGTTTGATGTTTCGTAGTAGTTATTTGAATTTTAAATTTTGAAATACTCAAAACTAGAGGTACAAGGAATCTGGAATTATGCCCGACTGGATGTATAGTAATAAGGCTACAAAAACTGGCATAAAGGAATACTGTAAACAAAGCTCTAAATTAATTCTTCTGCGGATAATACAGGCAAAGATGGTACAACAATACATACTAATTAACAAATTACACAATAAATCTAAACACATTGAGGACTCCATTAAAAATCAACTTTGAACTTATCACTAAACAAAATCAACATACAACAATAATTATCGAAAAGGCGTTATATAACAGACATAGAACATTAGTTCCGACTCAGTACAACTATAATTCAACTCGTATCCTTGTTGGAACAGGTACCATAGAGACACAAAGACACTTTACGCCAGACCTTTCCCACGGCATACGGACAACACTATTTAAAATAATATAGGTACTGTTTATGTTCAGTTTGGTTCTTTTAATCGTCAACAACAATAAGTGATAGCCCACTGTTTGATAATTCTATGATGTATATAAGAACTTTTTATATGTATATAACTCTTTCATAACTCGTCCATCCAATTTGTTGAGGGTCTCAGAAAATTGGTTCAAGTCCCTAGGTGGCAATATGGTAAAAAGCATCCAACTCAAGCGTTTTTGATTGTCCTCTAGTATATATTCAGGGGAAAGTAGAGGGAATCTGATCACGAGGCGGATCACCTATGCGCTGGACTGATCAAGTCAAATCGGCAACGGGAAACCCAGTGTCAGACTGCGCCAGACAATGCACAAACAGGGAGAGGTAGACAGGGAGAGATCGAGAGGAAAGCAGTGTCGGCTTCCAACACAAATACGGCCTCCTCAACGAGACCACGACCGCTCTGCCAAGAGCGAACGACAGAGAAGATATATTCAGGCTTTTAGGAGATACAACGGATCTGTATCGGTAGTATTCAGTTCGCTCGAAAAATCCCCTGACCCATGAACTAAAACCTCACCTCACAACTCATATAATTAACCATTTGAAACATAATACTACAATTATCTAACACCAAAAGAACCCTATTAAAATAAGATAGCAATCAATAAACGCGAGGAAGTGCACACGATTGAGCTAATCCTTCAGACCGCAATGAGCTAGGCGCTACGTTCATCCAAGCGGATCAAATGACAAGCGACACTACGGTAAGGTATCGCTACCAAATTAAAAACTATTACATGACTCGAGAGATCATTAAGAACCACTTGTGATAATTAAAGAGGATTGATATTATACAACGTGTTGTGTGGGTCAGCCGAGTACTTTTGTTACCAACTCTTCAACCTTACTCTTATCGTGAGTATAAGATGGATACAAAAAACAAAAATCGAGAAAGACTATACGTAATTTGATAAACTGAAACTTTTTGAATGCAAAAATTTTCAAAATAAAAAAAAAATCGATCGATTTTACACTTGACACGGGCACAACCCCTAGATGTATATTGCTGCGTTTGTATAAAAGAGGCAGCCGATTATTTATATAAGTAATATCGGTAGCTAAACACAACACTGACATAATATATAATAAACAACTATTTATCACCTTAACAGAAGAAAGACGTTGGATTTCACATCGCCATGCCTCACTTAGCCGCCATTAAAAGATTTGATCGGAAGTATGCAAATAAGCATGGTTTAACAGCTTGTATCCGTTTGTAACAGTCATAATGGTATTACACGAGTTCACATGCGTAATGATCCAGTTTCAAA